AAGTGAAAACGAAAATGAGAACAATTACTTTTAAGTGATTGAAACAGCTTCATTAGGAAATATTCTTCCATTAGGTTTCTTTTAACATGATTTTGTATTCATACTTGCGTGTATTAATTTCTTTTCACTTCTCAGTTTTGTTGAAATCTTTAATGTAAGCATTTTTTCATTTCATATCATCTAATAATATCAAAGTTACTGATGATATTCACGATGAATGCTTGAAATACATTCATAAAACGTTTTCATTAGTCTATTTTCTTTCTTTAGTTTATTGTTCAGAAGTTTGCAAAAAAAAAAAAAAAAGCTAAACTTATATTAGAAACTAAGTCGCTTTCACAGTACATTCATATGAACTGGGCATATTTACAGATGAAAAGGGGAAGATAGATCATTAATTTCTATTTTGGATAAGGTAACATAAAGTTAGCAAAAAGTTTATGAAAGCTAAGTTTTCATTCTACTTCGCTTTCTGTTCGCCTTTATTTGACGTCAACAAAAAACTAAATACTTTTATATGATGTATAAACATGTGCTGTGGTGTCGCGATGCTTTAAATTTCTCCTCAATATAGGCGAAATTTTGTAACACGTAAATATTTAAAATGTTGATTCGATATTGCGCATATAAGTGAAAGCTTTGTCAAATGGAACATAATGAAATCCTGGTAAGCAAGTTAGTTAATTTCATGGAGCTAATTGCTATTATCTCAAGTTCTTTTTAGTAATTATAGATTTCTTGAAAGCTCTGAAGCTTCAGTTCATTTTTGTAAATTCTGGTTTTGCATGAAAGGCTTTCCGATTTTACTCGCTCAGAAGAAGTATGGTGATAGCAAATGATCCAGAAGATTTAAGTGACTGAATTGAATAGAAATCAAAAAGTTTTTTTTTTCTTTGTTTTTTTGCTACATAATCATCAGTTACCTTTCCATCATTGTCATCGTTTAATTGACAAAGTGCTACCTTTAGTTCAAAAATATAAAATAGTCTCGATTACAAGAAAAGAATAGTTGTAATGATACGAGACAAACGTATCTTGACGTAAATATGTTAGAATATTAGAACTTGAAGTATTTTAATATTTAAAATTTTAATTGATATCTTTTAACGAATTTCTTTTTGGTTCTTTTCATATTAGATATAACTATAAATTATAAATGTTGTCATTATGGAGGCGTCATTTTCTCATTTCCGCATTAATTTTTGATTATTCTTGTTGTTTCAATAAAAATTTTGCTTCCTTCGATGCATTCTGTTGCTTCTTGACTTTCCTTCTAAACGTTATAAACGTTCTCCAACGGATTGCAATAAAGGTGCAAAATCCGGAAACAGTTAAAATGGACAAATAAATTAATGCTGAACCAGCAACTTCGAATACTGAAAATTATACTTATGAGTGAATAATCAATCAATCTATCAACACCGTTACTTCATAGTATATATGGGGAAAAATGGCGGAAGTGTTTCCAATGAGAAAAATAAGATATAAAGAGTTTCCACGAATGTTTACAACTATTCTACACATCATCCTATCTCTGTTGCTGGTTTACTATATCCAAAAATCATAGTCTAGCTTTTTCTTTATAAACGCTAAGATATATTAAGGTTTCATTAAATATGTATGACCTTACGCTGGAAATGATTTGCTTTAATTGTTGGGTCTTTGCCCCTTTCTGCTATTCTTTAAGATACAAAACAATTAAGAATAAAAGACTTACTATCAACTCGATTTCTATAACAATGAAAGAGATGATATACGAGTGCAATTAATAGTAAAAATATGATGGCTAGCTAAAATACTGTTCATGGATTAATAATAATAATAATAAAGCAACTAAAAAAAAAGCTTTAATTATGAGAAACAAAAGAAGAAAAGTTTGAAAAGGATTCTAAATTGTCAAAGAGGATAGAAGTTAATTAAAATTAAAACAATAATGATTACCGTTGCAGCAAGTAAGGGCCAAATAAAATTCTCGTTTATCGCGGAATAAGCCGCCAACATAGCAATAATGATAAATATAATAAAACAGAGGTAGTCTGCAAGAGCATGCACACCTTTACCTTTCTGGATTATAGAAAGTAGCAACAAGAGAATAGCCAAGATGATATTCACTGCGGACATTACATACATGCATGACTGCAATCAGTGCATGAATATGCAGGAAAATTGTGATCAAAGGAATAATTTCATCCACTTCTACGGCTATTTATCAAGTTCCCATTCAATTTCAATATCACATAGGTGGCTGCTTTTTGTGTATATGTAATATTTGGATGCCAAAAAAGGATGTAGAATGGGTAGCAGTGGTCATTTCATGTTGAAATGTTCGTTTTGATATGCTCAAGGCTGATTATATCAAATGATTATGCTAACCTTTATTGAGAAGATGCATATTTTAGAATGATGAGCCATAAGTGAATGAAATAACTATCAGTGCTGAATGAAAATTACAGTTTTACAAAAAATAAAGTATTATCAAGTGAGTTATAGTTATTTCGGCAAAATAATTTTTCAAATTAGTCGTAGAAATTTTAATAGTTTATTTTAATTTTTAAATCATTACAGCTACATTAATCATTTAGCAAAAACAAAAAATGAATAAATAAACAAATGAATAAATTGATTTCAACTACCTAATGATATGAAAAGACATGAAATCGAAAGAAAAGTCAAATTATATTTTTATTTACTTTCTGACGCTTGTTGCAAAATTGAAAAATTAAAATTAAGAGATGGGTCAGAAGACATTATGGATCACTGCACTCATATTGAATTACGGAATAACTATTTCTTCACTTGCATTCTAAAACATCACTAATTTTCGGTTTAGTATTGAATTGAAGGAACAATAATTACATATAAAAATATAATTGATCCAACCTGTTATTGGCAATGAAAAATTATACAATAAATAATTACACTAAAACATATCGCCTATCAGTGCTCTCAATATATCACCCATAATAAAATATAGAAATGTTCTAGTTTCAGTGTGTATGAAACAAATAATAACTTCGATTTGCTAATGTAATTTTACTTGAAAGCAAGTGAGATATTCTACATGAATATACATGCAAACATACATGCACTTGTAGAAGTTCATGCAAATTAAATCCTTGAAGTAATGCTATCACGGATAATCGAATAATTGATTATTCATAAACTAATTTAAGCAAATTTTGCATAACAATGCTAACATAAATGTAATTATTATGTTGGATTTTCCAGCTGTACGGTCTAACTGCAAAAGCATTTCATTCTGATTTATAAGAAGAAAATTACAAATAGTAGTATGGCACTTAATATTGATCCACCTGAGATAACTTTTCCTGCCGCTGGTGGCAGTACAACTGTTAATATTATCAATCAAACAGAAAGTCGTTTAGGCTTCAAGGTAACATTTTCATTAGTTCAAATTATAATTTTGCAGTTGTATACTTGAGGCATTTGATTTTCCATATTTATTTATAAGTATTAATTCAAGAAATATGTTTCAAAAGGCTATAAATCATAAATTGATACTGCTTATAAGCTCTAGAAATGAGATGATCAATGTTACAAGCAGTTTTAAGTGAATGATACTGCCTGGAAAATTCTGTAACTCATTTATAGATTTGTTTGATAGAGAATAAAGATTACATTTAAAGTCGACTAGCATTGGATGAGTAAGCTTTAAAATCTATTTTGATACAATAAGTGAATTTCTTAGAATTTCTCATTTCCAATTTACTTCCTCATTCAACTTTGATAAAATAATCAAATAATTAATAATTTATATCTATTGTTCAAAAAAAAAAAAGAGAATCCAGGTAAAATCAACAAACAATGAACATTATCGCGTTACTCCAGTATATGGATTTGTTAATAAAAGTGACAAAGCTGAATTAACGATAATGCGTCTGCAAGGACCACCCAAAGACGATAAATTTGTGGTGCAATGGGCTGAGGTGCCAGATGAAGAAGATGATCCTCAAGCACCATTTAAAGCTGGGGCTCAAGCTGGTGAAGTGATTCTACCTGTAAAAGCAGAATAAATTCCCCATCGAATCTTTATATCATTGCTTTCCTATCTATTATTTTATATTCACTGTCGAAGTGATTATTAGTTTGCATGCAATAAACTCATCGTTCCTTAATTTTTCAACATATAAAAAAATAACAGTGTTTTCACAGATTCTTAATGTGAGTGAGATATTATCATTTGGATATACGTGAAGCATTGTATTTTGGACACACGTGACAACTATCATTCATGTATCAGCATTTAAGTGCATTTGGATATACGTCAAGCTTAACTTAATAATTGTGTTAATGATTCAGTACATATTTCATCAGTTTAAGTTTTAAAATTGTTAGCAATTTCTATCTATTTATAGTCGATCTACTTTTGAACGCTATGTAGTAATCGTTACGTCATATTTCCACAAATATTAATTTTGAAAGAATAAATTTAAATTTGTATAATTTTCTGAAAAATCGTAAATTTTTAAATCTAAATTATTAGAAATTTTAGAAATTCTGATTACAGACGGATTTTATCATTTCATAATATTTTTTGAACAATAATTTCTTGTGTCACTCCTTACTAAATAGTTTAATGATAAATGAATTAGATCAAAATTCAAATTTGCCCTCAATGACGAAACATATGTGCTGACATCTTTTGTAGATATCATAGCATTTTCTCACTGTTAATTTGCATAAATTGGTTGTTTCTTACTGCAATGCATAAAAAAGAAAATTTAGAAAAAAAAAATTTTGAATAATATAACAAAAAGGATTGCAACACTAGGAGATCCATCATTTAAGAGAATTGAACTGTGAAAGTACTCTGTCAAATTAGGACGACAACTGATTTACAACTGATACATTAATGAACTTAGCATAATTAATTCGAAAGTGTTGAGCAAAATTACGAATATAGTTCGTTTAGGGTAATATAAAACATTTCTGATTGTTCAAATGTAGGAAATAAACAATTTAATAATGCAAGAAAACTAATGAAGAAAAAAAAAACGACGTAACTAATTTTCAACCTAAACTAGACAATAAGAAGTTATTAAACGACATTTAGAGGCGTCAGTGGTGTAATGGTCAGCATGGTTGCCTTCCAAGCAATCGACGGGGGTTCGATTCCCCCCTGACGCATCTGGGAGCAGTATTTTCTTTGGTCCACCAGCTTTTTACAGGTTGTGGCCACCACTCAAAATATCCTACAAGTCAGTTGCAACACACACCATACTGCTCTACATTATGTTGGCTTATGACCTGGTATGTATTTCACATTAAGGTTTCCAAGCAAATTTGGCTATGATACTTGGAAGTAATGCAGAACAAATAAAGTGCATGCTGAGTGAGAAGCATCTATGATAGATTGATTTAAAATGTACAGGCAGACACACCGACTGTATGCCTAATCGGTCCCAAGAATGAGAAGTTTTAACCTGTTAGAAATATCACTGATAATTTACAATGCATGGTCACTCTCAGGTAATCGTGATGATCGCCACTGGTCTTCTTCGTGCGCTGTTAACTTTTGATAAGCAAATCGTCCGAATGCATTTATGCTTTGATTACTTTGCATTAGCATTCAACGTGATCACATTGGTACTATTCCTTCCGGCCTTATTCTTACCAAATTCTGAAGGTCGCAATTTCGCTAATATATTACTGACTGTGTGCTTTCTGACTCAAATACCACTACAGATATGGGCCATAACGGTGTTGCGTTCATGTCTGGAATTCTTCGTTTTGGTGCATGTATTGGTTGAATTGGCGGAGAGATGATTCATACAGAAATGAGACATTTGAAGACTGATAATATTACTAGAATATAAAGCTATGATAATTATTCTCATTATATGTTGCTGTATAAAGACAAAAGTAATATTTAAACGAATGAACAACAAAATAGAAAAATTTCTCGACGTACTACGGATGTCTTCTGATGAAATCTGTTTCAGACTTAGATTATCCCTATCATGCTTAACAACATGAATTTCGCTTTAATTGAAGAACAACAAGCACTCTCTAACACTTCGGAATTTTCACCACCATAGCATATTTAGTGTACCGTGTTCAACAAACAGAGTGATAATCTGGCATTGTATCAGTGGTACCACATCACCACATTTAATTCTTGGCTTAAAGTTAATTGGATGCTGAAATACCTTGGATACATTTGTGATACATGTCTGCGTAATGCAGCTGTGATGTCATGTATAAATATTCATACAGTTTAACATAATTTCACAGCTAAAATATGTTATTGTCAACAAATTTGTTTATAAACAAGCATAAAGATCATTGAACACAAAATATAAATTAATCATCATCTCCTTTTTTCTTATAATTGATACTTTTTATCACTCAAACAAAAAGATTGTATTACTGTCCAGTATGAAGTATTGTTCTGTCTTGCAATATTCCACAAACGGTTATGAAAAACAACATATTTAAATTCAGCAAAAAATAACAATGCTGAAGATACTCCTAGTTTTATTCCTTCTCGGGTTCTGCCATCAATAAAAAAGTTTGCTCATCTTAGTGTCTGTAAAACCTCCAGCTCCAACAACACGCCAATACATTGGTATAGTAGTATGATATATTTACAAATCGCTCAACACAAATCTGGTATCCAGACGGCTTCGACTGAGTCGTGCATGCATAAGTTTGCGAATCAATTCCCCTTTACGCTTCTTTAAATTGTCGCTGCAAATGAATTCCTATTGTGAACAACATAAATTTTAAAACTTTGTCACTCTCCCATCAGTCCTCCTTAATGGAAGAGTATATTGAAACTCCATGGGGAAATGGAATTTCGAGTGGCTATTAGATGGGCTTGAATCTTATTAGCATCATTAGGATGAACATAAAGTCCATTCTTGGAAATATGAGTATGATTGATTTTGCATAATTAATTAGATGAATGGAAAATGTTGCAAATTAGAAGTAAAAACTTACTAAATTTGATGCTTAACTACCAGTGGAATGTCAACGTATGCAACAGTACTCAATTTATCGCTCAGTGTCTTCTCATTCACTTCAAAAATCTGTATCTCATCTGACCATCAACTACATTAAACTTTGTTTTCCCAAAAGAAAATAATATGACTTTGAACTAGCTTTCCAACTTATGAGTTTCAGGTTCTTGACATGGATGTCCATATTAACAGCTGAAACTGCAGCTAGTATATTATTTTGCTTCTTGAAAAGAATTCCTTAAATCATGAATCTTAGAATATCGAGTTGTCCGGAAATCAATCCTCTTCCCAGTGTTATTTGAAGTCTATTTTTGAACGAACTGCTTCTCTATTTGACAAATAATTTTTTCACATTTTCTTTGAAACATACATCAAAATTCATCTGCTAACTTCCGTTTAAATAACTCTAATAATTTATCTCAAGTGAATTTTATTCATTACAGTTGATTAAGTATATAAATTTAGATTTATAATTGATTTTTTATTTGTGCGAATTATTCATTTGCATTTATTTTTTTCTTAATTAATCTGATATTATCTTTAATGAAGTAATTATCTCCTTGAAAATTAAGCTTACAAAAGGATAATTATACAAGAGCCAAATAGTTTAACACTCAATTTTGCTAGTTAGTCTGTCCAATTGTGACAACGTATACGTGAAAAACATAAAGAACAAGTGATCATTTTACAGGTCAGTCTTGATGACCTTCCTGTTTAATTTTCTTCTGACCTTATTCAACCTTACGACAAGTGAAATAATTTTAACAGAGAATGTTAACTATGTATAACATATGGATGACAAATCTTCTTCACCAGTCCCTTATTTTCTTTCATTTCAAGTCAGAAAACTTCTTGTCCTTAATGGCTGAACTTCAGACTTAGGTTAAGAAACTTAGTATGAAATTTTAGTTCATTCAAAGAATTACTACTTCCCTTCTTTAATTACATAGCGTAAGTACTATGTGAGTACTGTGTTATAGCTAACTTGACGTTGCCAGAAATGTGGCAACTTTTCATCATTGAATCTAATGACGGTTTACTGAGACATCTTGTTATATGATATTTCTCTTTATTAGGTTCATTTTCATCATAGTTATTTCGCACTGAATGTCATGACCCCTCGGAATAATTTCAGTGTATAGTATTGGATTAATCGAACAATAGCACGTAATTCTACAGTTATGAAAGTTAACGATGCGTAAAAACAATTAAATAGGCAATTAATTGCTCGCATTATTCATTTCTATTGGTTAGAAGGAATGCGAAAGAGAATGAAAGAACCTTTTGTATGGTATACTGGGCTTTAATTTCTTTCTTACTTTTTGTACCTCACATATTGGAGTAGTCTTACGGAGATTATACGCTAGCAGACGTATGGATGTAAAATTGTTTGATAGGTTGGATAAGGTATAGCGTAACAAAGTTAAGAGCCAAGTATTCCATTATCTACAACTATCCGACGTTATATTTTCAGATGGAGGCATATGTAGACTTAAAGGAATCACAATGGATAAGAATGGGTAGAAAGCGGTGTAAGGTAGGACGAGAAGCGCGGTTGTGAGATTTGCTGGTATTTTGTATGTCTTTTCAAGAATATATTTCAGGCTGTTTGCAAGAATGAATACGGAAAGTAATGAATTAGTTGCTGAGTTGCGGAAAGCTGTATCCATCAAGAAATCAGGTTACTATTTATCATGTTTAATCTTCTTTAGAGCACTCCTATTACTTTAAATTTTTAGGAAGACGCGATGCAGTTCTTTATCTTTTATTCACTCTTTCTCCTGCTTTACACATAAATGCTTTTAACTGCAGAAGTGGCTCATTTGAAGGAAGAATTTGGCAATTCCAAAAAGCACTTGGCTCTATTGACATCGGAAATTGCTGAAGGTTTGTCTGATCTCTCTTATAAATTTCGAAAATCTCACCTTCGGCAACGATTTTTACTAGTTTTATGATTGCTGATAATATTTTAGCCAACTCTAAATTTTTGGAGTATTGAAGCAGTTTTGATTATCAGATGATTTCTATACTTACAATTGAAAGTCTCTTTCTGAAAATCGGTAGAAAGTTGTATTACAATTTTCCTACGTAACATATTGAATGCTTACTGATGATTATAATATATAAGCAATACAGATTTCATTATTTGTAGGAAGAGCGGAAATAGCTGCTAACAGAATCAAGATTGCCACTTTGGATGCTGACAAATTCTCATGCGTTCAGATAGAAAAGCTAAATACTGAATTAATCGATAAGTAAGCATTTTGATCAACACTTTTTTGTTTATGCAGATTGTTTATGCAGACTTCTTTTTGTTTTCTTGATTTACTATTCATACTTTTCAAATTATCCCATCAGTTCAAATAATCGTGTCACACATTCTATTTTGTTTAAAGTTCAATTTATTTCTTTTTGTATTAATTGTTGCTTTCCATTTTCTTTTGAAATATCATTTAGATTTGATGTTATGTGTAAAGAAGTATGTGCAATAAACGAACAAGCAGAGAAACAGGTTGTCGACTTGCAGTTGGAAATTGAAGCAACAAAGGATGTCAAAAATGTTATTAGCGCTTATGAGGAAACATTAGGAATGTTACGTATTATGGTAGGTCTTTTCTTTGCTGTTTTTGTGTTCACCAATTGATCATTCCATGTAGCTTCTCAACTTAGTGCTCTTATCAATTTTGTCTATAGCCATTTCAAATTGAAAAGTTATTTCAAATTCCCTGAAACTTACAATAAAAAACCTAAAATTAAAATCTACATCCTTTCTCACTGAATGCTACCTGCTTTTGAGTTTTTTTTTTTTTTTTTCGTGATTTTACGAAAGAACTTCTGGGATAAAATTCTAATCAAATTCTTTTAGAGATTTGGTGACAACGATGGCATGAATGATACACGTAGAGATATTGAAAATGCACAGAACGAATGTAAGCTACTCATTCTGTTTGGGCATTACTTAATGATTCCTTTTGACGTTTATCAATTAGGAAATTAATGATGTGTTTCAGTGCAAATGATGTCAGATGAGATACAGATTTTTGAAGTGAATGAGAAGACACTGAGCGATAAATTGAGTACTGTTGCATACGCTGACATTCCACTGGTAGTTAAGCATCAAATTTAGTAAGTTTTTACTTCTAATTTGCAACATTTTCCATTCATCTAATTAATTATGCAAAATCAATCATACTCATATTTCCAAGAATGGACTTTATGTTCATCCTAATGATGCTAATAAGATTCAAGCCCATCTAATAGCCACTCGAAATTCCATTTCCCCATGGAGTTTCAATATACTCTTCCATTAAGGAGGACTGATGGGAGAGTGACAAAGTTTTAAAATTTATGTTGTTCACAATAGGAATTCATTTGCAGCGACAATTTAAAGAAGCGTAAAGGGGAATTGATTCGCAAACTTATGCATGCACGACTCAGTCGAAGCCGTCTGGATACCAGATTTGTGTTGAGCGATTTGTAAATATATCATACTACTATACCAATGTATTGGCGTGTTGTTGGAGCTGGAGGTTTTACAGACACTAAGATGAGCAAACTTTTTTACTGATGGCAGAACCCGAGAAGGAATAAAACTAGGAGTATCTTCAGCATTGTTATTTTTTGCTGAATTTAAATATGTTGTTTTTCATAACCGTTTGTGGAATATTGCAAGACAGAACAATACTTCATATTGGACAGTAATACAATCTTTTTGTTTGAGTGATAGAAAGTATCAATTATAAGAAAAAAGGAGATGATGATTAATTTATATTTTGTGTTCAATGATCTTTATGCTTGTTTATAAACAAATTTGTTGACAATAACATATTTTAGCTGTGAAATTATGTTAAACTGTATGAATATTTATACATGACATCACAGCTGCATTACGCAGACATGTATCACAAATGTATCCAAGGTATTTCAGCATCCAATTAACTTTAAGCCAAGAATTAAATGTGGTGATGTGGTACCACTGATACAATGCCAGATTATCACTCTGTTTGTTGAACACGGTACACTAAATATGCTATGGTGGTGAAAATTCCGAAGTGTTAGAGAGTGCTTGTTGTTCTTCAATTAAAGCGAAATTCATGTTGTTAAGCATGATAGGGATAATCTAAGTCTGAAACAGATTTCATCAGAAGACATCCGTAGTACGTCGAGAAATTTTTCTATTTTGTTGTTCATTCGTTTAAATATTACTTTTGTCTTTATACAGCAACATATAATGAGAATAATTATCATAGCTTTATATTCTAGTAATATTATCAGTCTTCAAATGTCTCATTTCTGTATGAATCATCTCTCCGCCAATTCAACCAATACATGCACCAAAACGAAGAATTCCAGACATGAACGCAACACCGTTATGGCCCATATCTGTAGTGGTATTTGAGTCAGAAAGCACACAGTCAGTAATATATTAGCGAAATTGCGACCTTCAGAATTTGGTAAGAATAAGGCCGGAAGGAATAGTACCAATGTGATCACGTTGAATGCTAATGCAAAGTAATCAAAGCATAAATGCATTCGGACGATTTGCTTATCAAAAGTTAACAGCGCACGAAGAAGACCAGTGGCGATCATCACGATTACCTGAGAGTGACCATGCATTGTAAATTATCAGTGATATTTCTAACAGGTTAAAACTTCTCATTCTTGGGACCGATTAGGCATACAGTCGGTGTGTCTGCCTGTACATTTTAAATCAATCTATCATAGATGCTTCTCACTCAGCATGCACTTTATTTGTTCTGCATTACTTCCAAGTATCATAGCCAAATTTGCTTGGAAACCTTAATGTGAAATACATACCAGGTCATAAGCCAACATAATGTAGAGCAGTATGGTGTGTGTTGCAACTGACTTGTAGGATATTTTGAGTGGTGGCCACAACCTGTAAAAAGCTGGTGGACCAAAGAAAATACTGCTCCCAGATGCGTCAGGGGGGAATCGAACCCCCGTCGATTGCTTGGAAGGCAACCATGCTGACCATTACACCACTGACGCGTCGAAAATTTCTCTAGAAAGCCATCTGAACAATCTCAAAATAAGTTGGAATTTGAAACAGTTTAACGTACTGAGAAAGTCCACCGCTGTGAAAACGTAGAATAATTGCAGTAAGTGTAGCGAGGACATAAATGTATTCGAAGATAGCAATGGCTGTACAGCCGCAGCGAATAAGACAAGAAGACGAGCAACACAATGGCTCCAATTCCAAATGACGCTCGCAAATCCTGAAGATTATTGCAAATGTTTACGGAAAAGGACTAACTACTGGCAGATTATAGTTCGAGAAATGAATAGATCTTATTGTGTAAAAATGAAATCAGCTAGAAAAAACATGAAAATGATGTAAACACTTACTTGGGGTCAAGTGGTACAACCTTGTTATTCTTCCTTTGTCTGGAAGTCATCGTATGATTTCCGCTTACCGGTATTCTTTGTGTCATTATCATCCGGTGTTTCGAGGAATTCTGTGACGATACTGCAGCAAAAAGGTGTATAAAAGGGAATTATGTGAGAGATGAAGTAGTTATTGCACTGTAACTGAATGTCTGAGTGCTATCAGTGCTCCCGAGAGAGTGAATGGAATGACCACCGAGATCGTCAGATCCATGGCCCTGATGAAGTCATTCCATATTTCGATTTAGCCTCATAAATTTTGCACCTACTCCAAAGCTGAACAAGATTTCATGAGATGAACTGCCTAAGATAGACAAAGCAGAACCTGAGTGACAACAACGGCAGTCGAAATGTCGTAACCACTTAAGCACTGACCAATGTGGAATCACAGGATACTGCTCTACCCGTCCTCCAGACACTTCGGTAGATTTGATGTTATTATCTGACAGTACCTGTTAATGCACATTGTTCATTATCTTTCTACTACCTGCATCATTCTTTTCTTCCTTAATCGTAATGAGATTTCGACAGTACCACTAATGAAAGCAGTGAAGTACAGTATCTTTGCTTCGATGAGTGAAGACAAAAGTCATTTAATCATATATTGATTAAATACTGTCATAACATATACTGAAATTGACTTTAAATTGATCAGAGAGAAGCTAAACAACTCTATATACATCACTGAAGTCTTAGCTAATAATAGATAAATGGATGGATGGATAGAGAGACACACTTACTTGTTGAGTGGTTACTCTCGTGGCGTTCTTTTCATCTGTCACCGATTGTCCTTCTTCCCTTATCCAAAACATACAGCGTCTAAAATAATGCCAGCCATATAACAAACATAAAATGACAACAAATAATAATGAAAATGATCATATAAAGGCAATCGTCACAATCCATAAATCATTCTCACATTCTTCACTTCAAGAAATTTTCCAGAATCCTTGCTTTTCTTATACTTAATAGAAATTAATAAATAACAAATGACTTGGACAATTCTCTGCTATCTTCTCTGATACATTTGACAATGCTAAGCAAAACAACTGTTTATATTAATTCTAAATAGCGAAGTTAGGCTGGATAGACTGAGAATATAACCATTGAGCTAAAAGCTTAATGGTTATAAAAATACATTTCCGGAATGAAATGGATTATTAGAAGTCATAAGGCAATTCACGCTTTAGTTAGTCCCTGAAACGGAAATATTTCGCCTTGAAAAAATTTTATTGGTATTTGTGAATCATTCAATCTGCTGTCATATTTCAAATTTTGTCCATATAATCTTTTCATTTATGCACAGAATTGCAAAAAACTAGCAATAAATTGCATAAATTGCTCCTTTCATTTATAAATTTAATAAAAAGTAAATCCGCCAAACATCACAAGAAATAACTAATCTTAAATGATCAAATTATTGTTTGATGATTATTGTGTGTATGATTAGCGAGATTCGCATACAACAAGATTGCCATGCAGAACGAGATTGTCTCCATTAAAATGAAATGTCAGCTATAAAGAAAACAGAGAAGCAATTTAATGATAGCTTTTTATATGGAATATTTAAAACTCGAGATATAAAATACAGTTTTTGTAAACTATTCAAAAGTATTTCATAAAGAAGTTTTGATAGAGAAAATTGGAGATTGAGAATAACATTAAAATGTATGTGATAGATAAGAGCATTGCTTTATCATTTTATGTTTACCACTTTTAGTTAGAATAGGAAAAAATTGAAAATATTTAAATAGAAATCTGTACACGGAAATGCCAATTAATTGATACTTAAGTATCAGAGTAATAATCAACAATATTATTTAATTATTTTAAATCCATTTCTATTCCAAAAACGACTTCCGCTTGGTGGCATATCTATGTTATCATGCAAGCAACATTTTTTTTTTTTTGATAATTTAAATAATATACTTGATAAAAATGTATACTTCAAATGTTAGCTAAATTATAAAATGATAATTCATTGTCAACCGTATTTTATTTAATCACATTTAAGAAAATAATTCACTATCATAATTTAATTATTAATCCAATTGTTATCACTTTGCAAACATGATATTTTGTTGAACAAGTAAAAGCCATTTCTATTGCAAAAATAATTTCCAAATGATTATATAAAATTAATGCATTATCATTTTTTCACTGACTTGTATCATATTGTGTAGATTTTGACAGCTTTTAATTATATCCCTTTTCTATATAATATGATAGTATGAAAAAATACATATTTTACTGAAGTGGAATTATGTTCTTTTTTTCATAGATTTTGATTTCGATTCAAATAGATAAAAGCGAAAGGATATGAAAGGATATTTATTGTTTACATCCTCAATTTCACGAATTTGAATGAAAGTGAAGATAAGACGAAAAGTATGCGATTCATCGTTACTTGTTTCTAATTCTTCATTAGTATTTACCTTCCTTGAAAATATTTAATCTTTCAGAGTACTTCTTTCGATGTTGCTCTATTCAACAACTGCACTTTGACTGGTAGTGTCGTCTGAGAGAAGAGTAAGTTGATGACAAACAGATCGAAAAGGAATTTGGACTCGCAGAGTACCCACATATGATAATGTCATCGGTTAAGATTAAATAGATGAACTGAAGTAAGTAAAGCATATGCCAGATGATATATTTAAAAACATGGTGAAACACAGAGTTTTATAAAGTGCAATAATGCTCAAATGGAAGCTTTTTATTTCAGACTGGTTGGAATTAAAGACCAAAGGTCAAGTAGTTTTTGATCTGTTCAGTTCGTATTATTTCTCATATTATTCTCTAATACATTCTCCAACTGATAGCTTATGAGTGCTCTTTTAAATTCACGAAATAAGCATAAAATAACGCATAACTAGATTTAAAGTTATTGCTGCTACCTCGGGTACTCGTCAAGAAGTATAAGTAATATAGTAGGACCGATAGATATTGTGAGGGATAAGAAATCATTTTTCAAGCACTTAATTTGATGCATTAATAAAGACGAATGTTACACACCAATTGATAATTAGTGGAACTTCACAAATGAAAGGATGAACTGAAATATTTCATTTTTGATAATTACTGCTTTCTGGCATATACCCATAGTTATTCTTGCTATTATGAGAAAAGGTTTCAACATTGGTGAAATGATGCTTGAAAAGATGAAACAAATTTTAAAAGTTGGAATGATACAAAAAATGTAAAAAAAAAAATAAAATTCTTTAACTTGATATTGATATCGAATATCAGTAACTGCGAAATAATTTTTGCGGTATTGAATAATCCTGTCTATATTGTTTAATAAAATATAATATGGATGCTTATTAGATATTGTTGAAAAAAATTCTTCAATTTTTGATTTGGAAATATTAGTTAATTTTGTTCTTTATTCGAGTTGATTTTATCCTTGATTAGCATTCCGATATTAAAAATTTTGTAAAACTTATTATTTTTCGGCTTTTATTTTCATAACGCTAGCTAATTTTCAACTGCAAATATATTGGCTTATTTCCGATATTTATCTTTAGACAATGCTGGAAATCTTATTTATTTCAGTTAATATATCGAATTCTAACTATTCTTCTTTCCTTTTATTTTTTAAATCAATTTCTACACATAATAACTGATCAGGTGATAAAATAACACTGATAGTATTTAATGATTTTCAGACTTCGATGGCAAATAAATTAAAAGGCTTCAATCTTACAATCAATTCATATTCCTGGAAATATTGAGTTTAGGATTGATCTGAACTCCCAAAATTTCGTCTCGTCTGGTATGTTTTTAATTTGGTATTGAACTAGCTTCATTAAGAGTGATTATAATAGCTTATCCCCATAGATAAATCTATTTCTTATCACATCTACTATGGAATTATTTGGAACTGTAATATTTTATATACTATCAAACAAGAAAGTGAGATTTTAAAATTTATTCACTTTTTAAGTATTTTTGTACTATTTTAGAATAGTGCTGTTTCAGGGATATGACAATAAGAGTATGCGAATGAAGTCGAGTTATCTTCATCTCATGTATCTCCTGTAATGGAAATATGAAGCAAATATGGTAAGTTTAGAAAGGCATTCGTGATTGATATATCTTTGAACGATTTTAAAAGTGATAAAGACTGATAGGATGATACATTGGGATAGTGATAAGAGAGTCTGTGCTTTAAAGGTTGGTATTTTAAACACCTATTCGATACGCACATCAAATTTTATTTTCTGATAAAGAATTCCATTCAAATTTATGAAAGTCTCTGATTAGACAAATGGAAATCCATATCAGTTCGAATGAAATTATCTATTCCAATAAAGGAAGCATTGCTTGATAATGCCAAACGAGGTATTATCACTTCCGTTACATTAATAGTATGCTCCCAAAGTTTTAATTCTTTCAATACGTTCTTCGCCACATTTGTTAAGTCATTCAATAGCCTGGAGAAAAAAAAAAGATAATTAAATCAGTCTATTAACAACTTTAAAACCAACTCACAACTATCATTTATCGAAAAATTTAAGATTAAGCTCCTGTCATAATTCCATCCCAATGATAAAAACAACAAGAGTTCTTGGCCTCAATATATACATTTGACCTCTTTTGCTATTTATTAATATCATCAAAATGTCAGGACGAACAGAATTTTTGGCTCTTAGCTAGATGATGAATCTTACCAACAAATATCAATTACTTTTTTGCTCTTTTTTTTGAATTACATTTGTCTGAATGCCAAAATAGCCATCTTTTTCTAACCTTTCCTTTCCTAAGTTTGTGATATATTTTTAATTGTTAACATGGCTTACATCTGATCCAAATTGTCAACTTTGTTTGTTTTTATCATCATTTTTTCAGTGTCTATAGTAATTCCTCGTTGTGTTATTGCCACATTTAACGAGCTTTTTGTATGAATAGCTGAAAAATTTGTTCCTTAAGAACTGAAGAAATGTCCCTCTCGCTCCCCGATATTTTCCAGTGGAGCATGGTTGATGCCATCTAATGCAATTGAAACTCTAAAGCCGATCTTTTTTGCACATTTCAATTGACACACTGAACAATTTGCAGAACCGTTTACGCAATATGAGAAAGATTAAGCGTTTTTACAGGTGAAGACATCGGTAAGCTTTGATAGCAATGACAAGGAGGAGTGGGCCAAAAGGATGGAAATAGTATGCCTTCCTTTAACTGTTTCAAGTTCATCGTTGTGGAGTAAATTGAAATGTGAAAATAGGAACATTGATGAATGGTCAAACAGTTAGCTCTGTCAATATACTTAGCTCCGCCAAACTAGATAATTAGATTTCCTGCTTTATATATTGGACATAAATTTTTCTGAACAAAGTAGTCCTTTTTATCGATCAACATCACAAACTACTGAATTACTTAGATTATAAAAATATAAAAATTTACTTAGCTCCGTTAATTTAAGACTGTCTAAATTTTTTGGCGACCGATAAAAAACGATTTTCATGCTTGTTTCTATATAAATCCCATTTTCGGCACGTAGAAGCGGTGCTTTCATCAATTGAATGTCCAGGTCAACTTTATTCAGATCACTAACTCTCCCGGTGCAGTTCCTTGTTTTTGTACAACTGCAAGTCATAAATTATTTAGAGTTATACTTGCTAAAATGGATTTATATTTCAGAACAAAAATAATTGTTCTAAAAGAATTTAAAATATTTTGTAATAAATAACAAACAAGTAAATGATTTCAGAAAATGGAAATGATGTATCTTGAATTATTTAATTATTGAAGTATAATACATATTTCATTTCTTAGAGTTCAATTCATTGATACTTACTTTACATTGAACAAA